GGGCCGGGGCCGAGGGGAGGGCCGGGGCGGGGCGGGCTCTGCGATCCCGGCGCTGCCCGGCGCTGCTGCCAGTGCACAGTCTGCTGTCGCCATGGCGGCCGGCGGTAGTGCCAAGGCGGCCGGGCGGCCCTACGACATGGTGGTGTTCGGCGCCTCGGGCTTCACCGGCCAGTTCGTGGTGGAGGAGGTGGCGCGGGCGGCGGCGGCCGGCGAGGGGCAGCTGTGCGGCGGCCGCCTGCGCTGGGCCGTGGCCGGCCGGAGCCAAGAGAAGCTGCGGGCGGTGCTGGAGCGGGCGGCCGAGCGGCTGGGTATGGGCCGCGGCGGGGGCGGGGGTGGGGGGAGCTGCCGCTGCCCGGGGAGGCTCAGCGGGTCGGGTGTGCGGGGAAGGGCTGAGGGGCGAAGCGGGGCGAACCCTGGCGCGGCGCCGGGGAGGAGGAGGCTCGTCCCGGGGACGGCGGTGTCGCTGACGGCTCTCTGCGGTGCGCAGGGAAAGCGACGCTCGGGGAGGAGGTCGGCGTGCTGCTCTGCGATGTGAGCGACGCGGGCTCGCTGGCCACCATGGCGAAGCAGACCCGGCTGGTGCTCAACTGCGTGGGCCCGGTGAGTGCGGGATGCGGGCGGGGCGGTGTCCCGCGGCCTCCTCCTCCTCCTCCGGGGCCGCGCCTCGGCTGCGGGTGTCTCGGCTGTCGCGGCCACCCAGCGACAGCGCAGCTCTTGGGACTSGAGCCCGGAGTTCCAAGTACGGCCGTGTACTGCAGTGGCCGAAAGGTTTGCCACCGCCATCGCAGGTGGTGCGGGGCACGGACAGGTCTCCGCACTGAAATGCAGTGGGGTTCGCTGTCAGTCTTTCACCGGCAGAGTAATGTGATGGTGAAGTTTAGTCCGGCGTTTTGGGTTGGACCAAAATGTCAGCGGTGCTAGGRTTAAAAATTGAGCGGGCATAGGGGCCCAGAGGCTTGCTGCCGTAAGCGTTTGACCCTTTTAAAACTTACAGTGGCAGTATTTCTAGTGCATTCAGAGAGTGTCTCTGAAGTGTGCAAGCTGGAAGTTGGGTCACGACAATGTCTTTGAAATGATGAGTGTTTAAGTAGAGAATATGCTTCTAATATGAGTGCAAAAAGTGTAAAGTGAAATTAGTTGCAGTATTAAGTTGCTCTTGGGTGATCTGATTTCATGAGAGAAATCAGGTGCAAACTGATTGCTGCAAATAGTCTGCAGCAAACTCCACTATGACGCAGTTGAAGTGTGAAGTGATGAAGTTTGTTACGTTTTCTTCTCCCTACAGTCCCAAGAAATAGAAGTGCTATTGCTTTTTAGCCCCACTTAGAAAAATCAATAGCCACCGAGTTCACTTTTATTGTAGAGATGTATTTTAGTTAAAGGACATTGGGTGAGTTGTGGTGTGTAGGTTTTCTTTTGTTACATCTGGTGTTCTTTCCTTCTATAGTATAGATTCTTTGGAGAACCTGTGGTAGAAGCTTGTGTTGAAAATGGTGCAAGCTGTATTGACATTAGTGGAGAACCCCAGGTAAGTGATAGTAAAAAAACACTACCTTATATGAAGGATCTGCARAAGGAGTCTTTGTTTAGTATGTTTCATGTTTCTGCTAGTGTTTCTGAAAGTGAAGACAAATTCTTCCTACAATTTTAAAATGTAGTCATTATTTTAAAGTACAGTAATGTGTATTGTATAGTTATGTCGCTTTTAAGACAAGAGCCTCTTCAGTTCTTTCTGAGGGTTCCAAATTGCTGAATTCTGCTTCAAGTCTCAGCTGTKATTCTGTATAGGAATTTTGAGCTTTTCACTGCTGGGAAACTTTCATACTATAGACCAGGAATGATACRTATTTTTCAAAGATGCTTGTAAGTGGTTTGAAGCATGGGTGATGTGACAGTGGAATGCTGATGGCTAATAATGGGTATGGTCAGGAATGGATTTCTGTTTAAAATATTTCTTGTACCTGTGTTTCAGTTTCTGGAAGGAATGTACCTMAAATACAATGAAAAGGCTGCGGAAAAGGGAGTATATGTCGTTGGGAGCTGTGGCTTTGACTCTATACCAGCGGATATGGGAGTACTGTACACCAGAGATAAGTTGAAAGGTGACTAGAATGAGTATATCCTTGTGGTGGAAAAGGAATGCAGAGTATGCTTTCCCCTGGTTTCCTAAAGCAGCAATGTTCCCATGGAAACTTTTCCTGTGTCTTTTTGCCTGCCTTTCTCAGGTGACCATTTTCAAACAATTGTGGTAGAGAAAAATTCAAATTAATTCCTATTCCCATTAGATTGGTCATTGGGTAGAGGAGGGGTTCAAGGTCACATTGCTCACTGAGAGGGCCCTCTGCTAATGACATGGTGCTAATAACCCSAGCTTCGTGGGTTCAATCCCCACGTGGGCCTTTCACTTAAGAGCTGGACTCCATGATGCTTGTGGGTCACTTCCAAATCGGAATATTCTGTGAATCTCAGAGGAGAGAATGAGCAAGCTGCTCAGCCAGTGTGTGCATATCTAGGCAGCCTCAGCACGCTGCCTCTTGTGCTGTGAGAATCTTGTAGAGAAGAGACCATGAGGACAGGTCAGCTGTGGGAAAGTGTCCACAAATTAGTGGGTAATCAGGTTTCCCAAATTTTGTGAACTCCAAGCTTCGAGAAGCTGTTGTGTAAGTAGCAGCCATAGAGTAAGGCCATACAGTGCCTTTTGCTTTAACAGCAGCTAGAGGGTTATTGAAAGAGGAGAAATATATTGAAAAGCTGTGAGAGGATTTAATTCTATGTAAATAGTACTTGATCCTGATCTCAGATAAGGATACCGTGTTCATCAGGTCTGGCAATCAGTTGGGAGGGCCCATAAGAGTATCCAAATGTTTTTGTTTTATGGACCATTAAAAATGCTGTTAAATGGGATTCATTTACATTGAAGCAAGTAYTCAGCTGAAGAAACCTCAATTCAGATCTGACTGGAGGGAGAAACAAGGCATGAAAATGAGTTGTTCATGAGGTTGCAATTTGATGTTTTATACCTGTTTTGAATAAAGAGGTCTTTTATCTCTTCCTATTTTGACTTTATGGCATTACCACCTGTCTATCCAGTTGTTTGCTTTATTGAAATTTACCCATACAAATAGAGTTTTAAGATCTCAGAAGGAACTAAGCAAACCGCAACAAATCAGAATTTTGAGGCTTTGTATTGTTCTGCTGTTCATCAAACTAAGCATTCTTTTCAAAACACAAGCTATGCTAAARTTAAATCTTTCAGGATATTTTGTGTGGTTTGGTTTTTTTGTGGGGTATGTGGGTTGTTTTGTTTTTGACGGCAGGTTATTTGTAGTTCAGGCATGCCAAAATTTTGAAGTCCGTATTTGCTTTCATAGCCTACATCGTCCTTTATTTTGGAACTTAGAGGAAAACTAAATGTGACTCTTAATATTACTTTCCTTAAATGTGGCTCTTAATATTACTTTCCTTTTTTTTCAATGATTTTTTTTAATTATCTCATTAATTAGATAAGACAAATGAAAACATTTAATGAATAGAGGTAATACTTATGACCTGTATGGAAGTAATTTACACAAGATGCTAACTCAAATAGCTGTGCATCTTAATGTTAAATTATTTTGCTTTGAGGTAAAGATGTAACTGTTTTTTCAGCTGATAATGTCAGTAGCCTGCTATTTCAGTCTATCAGAGCGTTCTCTGGCTTGACAGGCCAATGACTGCATGTGCCAAGTAATGTTTTCTCCATTACAGGTACCTTAACTGCTGTTGAGAGTTTCCTGTCGGTGAAATCTGGGCCTGAGGTTAGTTGGTTTGTACCTTTCTGAAACTCAGGAATATTTGTGATGACATCACCATGGTCAGTCAGAATAACTTGCTACATTAAGTCAGACCAAGGAGCAGACTGGCAGTTCTTTGATAATGAGTGAGAACTTTCATTAGCTCCTAAAGAATAATCCCAAGCAAACGCTCTTTTGTAAGGTCTGTTTGCGGAGCTGTCTACCTACAGTTTGCTGTGGTTAGCTGTTCCCAGAACTGTTCTGCTTTTGCAGAAAGGTGGGAAGGATTGTTGCACAAATGAAACTGTAACAGGTCGATAGCGGATAATAATCCTAGTATTTGGCTGTTTGGGTTTTTTGTTTGTTGTGGGGGGAGAGTTGTTTCAATGTACTTTAATGCATGTATACCTGTAGGTAGTWATTGTAATAATGTGTAATATATGCAATAGTTCTAATGTCATTGTTAAAACAATGCAACAATGRTCCAAGCCAGTCTTGATGCCCAACAAGCAAACACTGCTGCTCCTGGCATGAACACCCATCTTGCCTTACAAATCGTCTTAGTTCTTRCAAACATCTGGAGGAGTGGAAGAAGCCCATGGAATGGGAGAGTAATATCTGTTTGTTAAGGAACAGGGGATAGTGGTTAATGGGAATATATAAATCTATATGTTGGGTATGAACATTTTAAATATATAGCGTAAGTTCAAAGTGTTAGTAAGAAGAGATTTCAKTAATAAAAATGAACTATTTTGAGTTGATTAGAAGAGATAGAGATGTGTATTAAATTTTGTGGGGCCTGAGCATGTTGCAGATCGTATGGAATTGAGGGGTGGAGATTGCATTTGGTCTGGCTGATCTGGATTTCGTTTTCCCCCAGCAGTTCTCACAGTGCTGTGCTATGTGTGGCAGCTGCAGAGGTGTCACTAACACACTGGTGTTCTGGCTACTGCTCAGCTTTACTGGCACAGCACTAAGGCTGTCTCTGCAAAATTCTCCCCCTCACCTGGCAGGCTGGGGATGGGCAAGATCCTGGGAGGGGACATAGCCAGGACAGCTGCCCCAAACTGACCAATGGAMTATTCCATATTGTGTGAGTTCTGCTCAGCAATTGAAGCAAAGGGAAAGGAGGAAAAGGGGAGGGAATTGTGGGGAGGCGCTTGTTACTACTACACCTTTGCTTCCAGGTGCAGATTTTACTTTATTAAATTGCCTTTATCTTGACACATAAGGGATTTTTCCATGTTATCTTGTCCTCTCCCTGTCTTAGCTAGGAGAATAGTGATAGAGGCAAGCACCTGGCCTCCACCCAGAGTCAACCCATGCCATTTCAATATACTGTTGTCATAACACTTATATGTCATAATTATAATATATGTAATGATTCTAATATAATTATTAAAATAATATGTGAAACCTTTAAATACTGAACTAATTCCTGTTTCATGGTATGTCATAAGGGTGTTTGTGTACATGATGGGACCTGGAAGTCAGCTGTCTATGGCCTTGCGGATGAAGACAACCTGAGGAAGCTTCGGAAGAAGATAGGATATGCCCCTGTTCCAGTAGTTGGTGCTAAGCTTAAAAGAAGGTATAAGAGGCATAAGATGAGAAATTTGATGTCTTCTAATGGTTCCAGTATGTATGATACAGATTGYCACAGTATTAAATGCAAAAAAGATGCGTTTAGGGCTTTAGTGTAATGAACACACAGATGCTTGCTTATCTAGTAGAATTTAAGATAATTTGTTGTACTGATGTGTTCATATCTTACTGAAGGGAGAATATGTCCTAGCATTTACTGGGTTTCAAAATTAAAGTGCTCTGAAAGACTTAGTGACATGGCAAACTTMTGATTTCAGAAGTGATTAGTAAAATGGAGGGAAAAAATTAAAAGACTGTTATACTGATTATCAAATTCATCTTTGATATAGTGCATGTAGTGAATTGTCTAAAATGAAATATTTATATATATATATATATATATGTAGTGAATTTTGAGTGAGCCAGGAATGTATTTGGAATTGCTTGCTTTCAGTGAAAAGAGATAATGTCATAAAAATGCTTGAGAAAAAACTTGTAATGGTAGGACCATAATTTCTTTCAATTTGTGTGGAGRTGAATTTTTTTCTTGACTTAATTATTTTTTATTTGCAGAGGATTTTTGTTTTACAATCAGGAATTCAAGGAGTACTGCATTCCATTCATGGGATCTGATGCTTCTGTTGTGAAAAGGACTCAGCGTTACTTGCACACCAAGTTGCAGGAAACACCTGTAAGTTAGTGTTATTTGTACACTATGTTTTCTGGGTGCACAGGCTTGTTTCATGCTRCTTGACACTGTGACTGATGAGCCTGCCTTTGGCTGTTAGCATAATAGTTACAGAGTGTTCTGTAATGTTCTGCTGCTGTCTGATTTTTGGGTGTGTATTTGTAGGTAATGGAAACCTTGAGTCACAGAAATGTTCAAGAAGTAGCCTTCATGATAAATGTATAAATTCGTTTCTGTGCAGGGACTTTTCTTACTGTATCAGTAGAGCTTCTAAAAGGATCGTAATTGTAGCTTATGTAGCTATAGCCAGATCAGTATAGTGTAGTAAATATTCTGATAAACAATTCATGTGCTACTCATTTATATCTTAAGATTTCTTTGATACTTGGGTCTCCAGTGTGCAAAGTAAAGATAGTGTGAAGTAATGGTGGTGGAAAAGATGTTTAATTTTTGTATAACTGCTGTGCAGAATCACGGGCATCAGTTCAGAGATGAGGGTGTGATGGYGCTTTAAAAATATGCTTGGAAGCTACAAATAACAAAGGCTTGCCATTGCTATTTCAGTTTCTCTTAAAGAAAAGCTTAGAGAAGAGGGAGATCTAGGAAAGAGGCTGAATTTGGATACGAAAACACATCTTTCTGTAAAGTTTTCTGTTCTTGTGCATTCTGTGTGCTCCCTCAGCACTCTAGTTACATTGTCTTCTCAGAATGAATAATAAAGTGAAGCATTCCTCAAACAGTTCCTTAGAATTAAGACAATTGTTTAAGGCCTTATTTAAACTGCTATCTGTTGTATGAAACAACTCTAATTTGRGGGTAGATTGGTTTATGAAAATTAATTGATAGAAAAAATTTAATGTAAATCCTATCACTGAAAATAYATTTTTGCTTCAGGTTCAGTATGGCGCTTATGCGAATATTGGTGGTCTGGGCTCTGCTATCAAGCTGATGTTTGCTGGCATGTTATTTCTTCTTCTGGTGAAGTTTAATTTTGGAAGAAAACTTCTGACAAAAGTAAGTTTTCAAAACACAAAATCATTTAGCGTTTGAAGATATCTTTTTTCCCCTCTAATTTACTGTTGGTCTTTTTTTGTCKTCTTCTTTTTTTTCCTCTTCTCTATTTGTATAGTACCCGGAATTTTTCTCTGCTGGACGCTTCACAAAGGAAGGACCAACCCAGAAACAGGTAACTGACTGTTTTCTATCACAGTTATTGAATACATTTGTTGTGGTAAGTKTGGAACAGTAATTAAGGGTCAACTGCTTAGCCTCAAATAAATAATTTCTAAATGAGTCACAGATTATTCTGAGTTGGAAGGGACCCTCAAAGATCATAAAGTCCAGCTCCTGGCCCTGCATAGGGCACCCCAAAAGTCACACCATGTGCCTGAGAGCATTGTCAAAGCACTTCTTGAATTCTGTCGGGCTTGGTGCAGTGACCACTTCCCTGGGGAGCCTGTTCCAGTGACCAACCAAACTCTGGGTGAACTTTTCCTGATATCCACCCTATACCTTCCCTGACAACTTCAGGCCATTCCCTCAGGTCCTGTATCTGGTCACCAGAGAAGAGAGATCGGTGTCTGTCTTGTGCTCTCACAAGGAAGTTGTAACTGCAGCAAGGTCTCCCCTCAATCTTCTGTCCTCCAATAAAGTGACATTCTTTCAAATGAATGATAAAKTGACATCACTCCTCACACAGCTTCCCCCTAGGCCCAAATGCAGGTTGTGTGTGCCTGTTCAGATAATTATTGGATATTTGAGCGATCATGCCTTCTGCTCTTCGATATCAAAGTGTGTGTAATTCCTATGAGGAATAAATTGATAATGACATATTTCCATGGGTGGCTCAGAGCACTATATCAAAGGTGATGACCTGGGAGACTGTTTAGCAAAAACCCAGACAGAAAGCACTTAGAGAATCAACAGACTTTWGTACAAAGACAGTACAAAGTGGAAGCGATTAAAAATTTGGATTATATCTTTTAAGCAGTAATTCAAAATAATAATTCTCCTCTCCTGTTTAAATGGATTATAGTATCTAGCAGGATTCTACATCTAAAATTTGGATACTTACATTTACTACTTKTGCTTGCCTGATAGCAATTGGTTTCTGTTTTGCTGACCATGCTTGTCTTGTCTACCACAGATGGATGGAACCTCTTTTACAATGACTTTTTTTGGTGAAGGTTACAGTGAGGGACAAGATCCCCAGAGTGGCAAACCAAATGTGAAGATCTGCACTGAAGTGAAGGGACCAGGTATGTCCCTGAGTATGTCCCTTAGTAGCAGCTGAGTCCCTGCTCTAAAATAGCTGAGTCCCTGCTCTATAATTCCACTCCTGTCCMTTTCACCCTTCAGAAGTACTTGCAACATGAACAAAGTCAACAGCCTTTACAGTGTATTACCTTGGATACTAGAATTCATTGTGACSTGGTTTTTGAAACAGCTGGTTCACTTGCATTCTTGTTATTCTCTTTTCTGTGACTTCCCCTGTTCTAATTTTCATTTTTGCAGAGTAGAGCTATTGAAGGAAGAGGGCTTTGAGTGTAGTTTTTAGTTGTAAACTATAAGTTGTAAACTAAAGTTGTATCTAAGTTGGAGTTAGTACTTTATTTCCAGTTCCCTGAGAATGAACTGAAACAGGTCCAGTGTGCTGTAATTTCTATCACTTCTGTTCAGGTCATTCYTTGAGGGGAGATGGCACCTGAAGTTTGGAGAGAGCCAGAGTGTACATTCAGAAAAGAGTTACTGTAGCATAGCTTTGAATAACTGGAGATGTAGTGGAATGCAAGCATCTCATGGTAAAAGTCTGAATTTAAGCACAGGATGGGGAAAGCTCTTGCTGTGTTAGGGATGCTTCTGTCACCATGGTGTGGTCACTCACAGTTAGGTGTGGTTAGAAGCCTTTAGGTGAAGCAGTGTTAGATCTTAAGGACTTTACCAGCTACTTGGGCTGTTACTAGATTAAAAAAGCTGTTCTTAAATGGGGAAGGTTGTTTCATTGCCATAGACATTGTTCTTCAGAACCCTAGGGAAGAGCAAGATTACATTCTACATTTCAACATACTGTACTTGATTGGGGGTTTTGTTTTGTGTTTTTTTGTCAGAGCCTGGATATATTGCTACGCCAATTGCAATGGTTCAAGCAGCTGTATCTCTTCTGGAAGATACAGCTTCTCTGCCTAAACAGTAAGTACCTTCCCATGCTGAGCAGCTTGCTCTGCCTTAAAAGCTACTGWGTGCAAATGTTTCTTTTTGAAAATGCCATCCCTGTGGATTTSTTACCTCACTCAACAGTGAATGAGGCAGTGCAAAGAAGATGCTTCACCACAAGCTGATTTAAAGCCCCTTGCTCTTCACCAGCTTTTTCATTTGAAGGAATGTCGGCACAGGCTTTTAGTCAGACTTTTGCATCAAGATCTTGATGTTCATGGAATGGTTTCTATGGAGTTTGCTGGGTGCAGAAATGAACCTCTGATTATAAACACCCTGTCAAATTCCTCACCCACTCTCTTCTGGGAAAGAAAAAGTGGCTTTTTCTTTCTTAGTCAGYGAAGCACATCTTTAACTTCACAAAAAAGTGTGCCCTCAGTCACTGTGCCACTAATGTTTTTCCCTTTTGATTTTCACTCACAGGGGTGGTGTATATTCTCCAGGAGCTGCCTTCTCCAAAACAAAGCTGATTGATCGCCTGAACAAACGTGGCGTTGAGTTCTCTGTTATTAGCAAGCCTGAAGTCTGAAGTCAAAATGTAACTGTATGAACTAACAACTTTCCTGGGTCTAACTCTAATAAAACTCATTTGGCTGCAAAAGCCTAATAATAAAATAGTTTCACTGTGCTATTGTTTGCAGCAGAAACAGAAGAAAATTTGAGTAAAAACTGTAATAGTATTTGCTGTAGTGAGTAACTCCTAAAGGGTAGGTATTGAGTGTTAATTCACAGACATACTAAATTGGTAACTTCTTGGGTACTAATTCTAGAATTTAATCTCATTCATCTGAGTTCAAGTTCCTACTTCATGGACCCTCTATAGCATCTGATTCACAACTAACCATAACTGCCTTGCTTTGGCCCATTTACTGCAACAGTGTAAAGCAGGCAGTGTGGAAAAGTGCCTTAGCAGATGAAACTACTGCTTATTCCTCGTGTGTTTGGCATATGTCTTTATTAAAATCTTCAATGAATCTTTGCTTTATTTAATAACTGTTCTTAGTGCAGATTTGTGTGTAGTTAGGTAAGTAGCAATGAAGTGTATTGTGCTTTTGCTTCTGTAAAGAAGGAGGCTTGTTCTGTTGGTTGTTTTTGGAATCTGACCTGATGGGACCCAGGTTCTGGATGCACTGGCCAGTTTCACACTTCTTGATACTGTGGTTGATGAGCCTGCTTTTTGCTGTTAGCATAAGAATTACGAAAGTGTCTTATAGGGTTCTCCATCTGATTTCTGGGTTTGTGTTCGTAGGGAACAGAAGCTTTGAGTCACAGGAATATTTGGAAAGTAGGCTTTGTGATTTTTGGGAGTGTGAATACATGAAATTCTGTTTCTGTGTAGAGGCTTTTTTTGTTGTAGAACTTGTAAAAACTTTGAAAACTACTCTGAGATATATAAAGGTCATAAAAGTCTGTATCTGCCTCAGCTGCATCACAATCATCTTTTTTATTATCAGGAAAATCACATACAAACTRATGCTTTATAGTGTCATAGCTGTATTGAAAATTGTTTTATGGATATAGTTGATTATATAATGGTGGTTTACGTGCTGCCTCTTAACTTTATGCTGTCACTGCACTGTCGTCTGCAGCCTAAAATTAAAACATGTCTGTTAGTACTTCATTCACTACCAAACAGACCCATTTCACACTGATCTAGATGAAAGTGAGGACAGTGAAAAGCTGCTCTCCCTTTCAGATCCCYCCCTGAATGTTAAACRAGGTACTCTGTCCTACAGATGACAATTTGTGTTTAAGGCACAGAGATCAGAGCAGTCCCTGTGTKCAGCCACATGYTCTGTTKCTGATATTTCTGTCCAGAACTAACAATTTGCCACTGCCCATAGCCAGGGAGCAGTTTTCCAACACAASGTGTGTACAGAACCAGCTGTRACATCACAYTRCAGTGCCYTCTGCACTGCTACACATCCAGRGTGACCCACTCTGCATCTGACAGGGTAAAATAAAATTGAGTCCCTCAAAGTTTAAAGCTTCAGTCATAACAAAAGGAAGGTTATTTTTTCAAGTTAATTTTCTGAAGAAACAAGAATCTAGCATCTTTATGTTTGCAATGTTACGTCCTATCCTAGTAATTTTTTGCAATTTCTACACTGCTTTTTTAAAAAGCACACGACTTGAACCATTATTCCGCATGGCAGCATTTTCCATTACTGTATTCCAGGTGGCACTCAAYAAAGCAACAGCCACGGCTTATTTCTTCACTAATTAATCAATCTGCACACAAGATGAAGTGACCATACACTAAAAATACCTACATATCTTCATCTAGCAGTGTTAAAGTCTTYCTAGTTCAGAAATATTTTACAGTATTGAAAGAATTCAAAAGGAGGAAGATGAAGCTATTTCAATGGTATGGAAGATGTTTCATAACAAGAAAAAAGATTATAATTCAGGGACATGGCAATTATTTTATTCAGAGATAGGTCAGAACCAAGGAGCCATGTCAGGTGTCACTGCCTTGCATGGTAACAGTTTGATGGCATTGACTGGAAATACAGTGTAACACAACAAAAATAAGTAAAACTACTGCAGAGAGTCATYACTCAATCTGACAGACTGACATCACTATAATTGCTTAGTTGTCATTCATGTGACTGGGTTAAGAGTCTGAAGCATGCACTTCTTGGTTGTAGAAATGCACATCAGACTACACAAAGCTACTCAGCACTTAAATGTTGATGTGGTTAAGCCACAAATGGCATCTTTAAATAGCTAAGCATAGATTGAAAAGTCCAGGTTCAACTTACTTTTTTTTGTGCAATAAAAACAAGTGTATTTCTCAAAACTATGGGASAAAATGACCACTGCAATGAACTGAAAACAAGTTTACCTGTGTTCCCAACTTACTGCCTCCAAAAAGACTGTGTATACAATAACCACATGCATACTAAAAATATCTCACAATTGGAATCCAGGGAATTAATTTTAAATAAAGATTACAAGCTGTTGATTTGGTTGGTTGCTACTGACTTTTTAAAATACAAACCTTATTTATAAGAGGAGTCTCCAGTAAATTCAGCTCGGATGCTCTTGGAAGATTCTTTTGGGAGCTGCATCGATGTGTATTTGATCTCAAGGGGCTGGATGCCAAGAAAGAAGTAGAAGCTCTGCATGGGGACTGCCAGCTCTCATCCTGTGCGACAGAGCAGGAAGGAACAGGACGAACCACCAAATCCAGCAACCTGTTAAGACAGACAATTTAAACCAGGAACATAGATAAATGAAAAAAAAAAAAGTCATCTGTGATCATCTCAGATCATGCAGAACAAAAACATTCCGTGAAAAAGAAACACAGGTGAATCCTCCCTGCTGGGGTGATACATTATGCCCACAGGGAAGTGACAGGCCCTTCTTTTTGTCTGTCAAAGTCTACACTGACAGCATAGTGGTTGTTGAAGCTTTAATTTCAGCTGTCTTAAACTCTGTAAGCACATTTACCATGATGTAAATACATGTATTTGCATAGCTGGGATTATCATAGCAGAAAAATGTCTCTTTAAATATTACGATGAATTGAGTTTCCAGAGTTACATATTGTATGTGCAAAAAAGCAGAACAAAGCTTTATTCACATGCACCCTCCCACCAAGACACATAATTCAAACTCAAAAAGAGGGATTTCTCTCCCTCTTTTTCCCTCTCTCTCCTCGAACGCATAGCACAAGGCTAAACTTTGTGAAAAGGCTGCTTACTTATAATATTCTGAGATTTTCATGTTTCCTAGCCATTCTTCTTTAAATTTGGACAGTACTTTAGTGATGAAATTTGTTCTTCCATGAACATTTCCTGCATTAGCTTGCCTTGTTGCTATTGATAATGGCTTTGGCCTTGGGACTGTAAAGCAAGAGAGAAACTCATCAGCCTTATGTTACCAAAGTGATGGTTGGCTGTACATCATATTCCTCCCTTCTATAATTACCTTCTCTTAAAACTGATAAAGGCAAACGGTACGGCTTGACTCTCTCTACTGCCAGCTTCCTTTGAACTGTGGGAAGGATCTTGCCATATTGGTCTAATAGAGAATTTCTGGCAACTGCTCTCTCCCTCAAGCGAGGATCACGATCGTTCTGACAAAGGAAATGGGTAAAGCAAGAAGTTRATGATTTACCAGAAGTTCATTGCACACAACCATCTCTGCCCTTTCTAACTAAGGCCTAAATTTGCTCCGCAGATCCAGGAGAACACATCCACTGCACAGAGCCACAGCAAGTTCCATTCAGGAGCACACACCAATTTCACCTGGTAGTTTTAGCAAAATGCAAGGAAGACTGGAATAAAAGCAAAATGTAAAACTCCAAGTTAGAAGAGCTCTGGCACTCTGCTCTGTTAACACCTGCAATTTTCAAATAGCTTATGGAAGAGCAGGCTTTCCCTTTGTTATCCTGAAAAACACGTCTCAGATGACTGAATACACAGGGCAACTGCAAATCGTATTGGACAAAATGATGGGAAAATTAACATGAGTTAAGAAAATCTACCTATACACAACTTGTGTCTGGAGGAGCGTTTTCACACACAGGACTTAGACCTTCAAAGACTATCTCATAAGTTTGATTTACTGGAAAAATACTTTCAAAAAAACAACACATGCATCAGAGATCCCTAAGAGAAGTTCACATAACACAAAATTCACTCTGGATAATTTGAGAAACATAGGTTAGAATTTATGTCAAAAAKTTGCTACCATGGTCAACTAGTAGAATCAGAGAGCTTTCACTATAATTTGAGAAAATAAAAAGAACAAAACCACAACTAAAACCCACAACACACATTTTACCTGCCAAGCATCCAGATTGCTCTCAGCTAGAAAAGCATGATACAAGACATGACATGCAACACACTCTTTATTCCACAGAAAAACGTGACACAAATAACTTCCACAGACTAAGCTATACAGAGTGGTCTGAGGATCTGAATGAAAAGATGGGATGGTAGAAAAGATTCATATTTTTTCCTCATTTGCAAACAAACTTTTTTAATTGAGTCAACCATGGTCTGCAAGATTCACTTTATAATTTCACATGGCAGTTTGCAGTAGTAAAATTATTTCAGCCAGCTTTTAGGCTCAGCTTGACATGTGGGAACTTACTCCTAGTCTTTCACAGACTGACGTAAAAGGCAAAGTAGGATTTTTACTGAGGACTTTCACAAGAGATAAGTCATACCAACAGAAACTTGCACACTCAGCAGGGCTGCTACTCTTACCATTAGATTAGCCTTCATGGACTGATTCAGCTGGAGTGCTGGGATGTAGTTGGCACGCTGCAGATGATGGACTAAAAGGAATTCACGATTCTGAACACCAGCATTGGTCTGTAAAAACTTCTCCAAACACTCCTGTGAGAAATAACACATTTCAAAAATCTCTTATGATTCTGCCTCTGCTCTTGCCAACGAGATGATTAGGCTTTTTTACTTTCTTCTCCAAACTCACTTTTTCCRTATCTGTGAAGGGCAGCTTCAGCAAATCTTCCATGAGCCCCATCTCCTGACAGATTTCATACATGTGCTTTAACAGCTCTTCTATGTTKAGCTTCGTGGTGTGCTGCTGCAGCAGACCCCAAGCCTCCACCATGCAGCTGGAGTTTGGAAAAGGAAAAGGAATAGGAATACCAGAGCCAAAAAGATGCYSCAAAGGGATGGTATTCATTCAAAGAACAAAGGAAATGGAGGGCAGCCTGATTTGTATCAGYAGTTYTCCACATTTCCCAAGATKGCAATGCCACAAYRGTGGGAGAGATTTCCTCACCTATTGGACAACAACACGGTGAGGAGCAGCCGCACTTCACTGCTGCTGGACATCGACGGCTTCATCATCTGGATGTACCTGAGGGCTCGCCTGTGCTCTCCCTGGCACATGAGGGACTGAATTATCCTCATGTGTTGCCATGACACAGTTTTGAYCGTAGCTGGATGGAAGAGCAGGGCCAGGGAATTCTGGAGAAGTTGAGAACAKCTTCATTACCATAGACACACACASCCATGCAACAAGCACAGTCAAAACTGCCTTCAGCAAGGCTGAAGGGGCATTAAACAAACTTAAATGTCTAACTGGTAAAATACTTGATCCAGGACATTACAATAAACATTCTTCAGAATTTCCAGGAAAAAAAAAAMCATACACAACAAAGTGAATGTCTTAAAAGGAACAGTTCCGATTTTTCTAAGTTAAGAAGACTCTGTGTACAAACATCCCTTTTCATAAATACAGTACTAAATAATAAGTTACTCTAGAAACAAATTGATTCTATTGACATGGTGACAGGCAAAGAATAACCGTCAGCATCAGCAAGCACAGCAACTAGGTTGAAAAGTAACTTCTGCAGCCTTTCATCTCAAATCTTGCTGCTACCATCATAGTTTTGATGTTTAAAGTACCCAAAGCACTCTTTTAG